ACACACACACACGCATGACACACAACACGCACACACACACACACACACACAACAGGACACACCGCGCGAGTGCGTACCGTCCGGGGCGTCGGGGAGGTGGAATTTGCCGAGAGAGGCGACGGTGTAGTTGCGGTGGTGGGCTTGGGTGGTGTCGGCGTTGTCGAGAGTGGCCGCCGATTGGCGCATCTTCTCGACCACAGCGTGCGAGACGATGACCTGACCGCCGTGGGCCATGGCAGTCATGCGTGCGGCGGCGGCCACGGCCGGCCCGGAGTACTCGGCGCGGCGGGTCATGGCCTCCTTGCCCATTCTTAGCATACCGCCGCCCTGAGTGGTGCTGACGTGTACACCCATGCGCACCCGCAGGCCGCGCCACACGACCTTGGTATCGTCGACGTCGGCCCATGCCTCCGCCGCTCCGGCGTGTTCGAGCAGCGCCGCGGGCCAGTCCAGGGTCAGCAGTGCGGCCTGCACGTCGGCGCACCAGTCCAGCGCGTCGTCTACGCAGTGGAAGGCCATACAGAACGAGCCCTCGCCCGAGGTCCACGTCGGCGTCGCTCCCGCGCTGCTGAGCATGACCTCGTAGCCGCGGTGGCGCTTGAGCGCGGCCCGCAGAGCGTCGTTGTGGAGCAGCGTGGCGTCGCGCATGGCGGCGGCGTTGGCTTCCCACAGAGACGCGGCGCGGGTGATGTCGCTGAACACGAGTGTTACTTCGCCGTCGGGCGCGCGCACGGCCGGGCCGCCGGTGCCCCCGCCGATGCCGGCGAAAGAGAGATTTCTTGAGCCGCCGGTGGCCGAGCCCGACCCGGACGTGGACGAGCCGCTGTGCGACGACGTCGGCAGGGTCCACGAGCCCGTCGACATTCGTGCCCCATTCTTCGGCTTTTTGTCGACGCCACGGGGCGACTTGACCACCGAGTTGGTGGTGTTGGTGAGCGAGGCCGCTGACGATGATGAAGATGAGGAGCGCGAGTAGCCGGTGGACATGCTCGAGTCACCGATGAGGGTGGAGAGGCGGGTCATGATCTCGAGGAACGTGGGGCGGATGGTCGGGTCCTGGTGCCAGCAGTTGGTGACGAGCTCCTCGTACTCGCTCGGGCACAGCGAACCGTCGATGTTGTCCGGCATCCGAGGGCGCAGGTTGTCGCGGATCACCGCCACGGCCACAGCGGCCGGGCTGCTCGAGTCGACACAAAATCGAAATTTCAGTTTCCATCGAAAATCTGATTTGTGACGGGAGTAAGTGCGGTACCTAAGGCCAAAGTAGGGTTGCTCCCTGGTCAGGAGCTCCCACAGCACTATGCCAAACGAATAGACCTGCACCAAAAGAATGAGAATTTTCTAATCACAATGATGCAAAGATGTTGTGGTGTACGTCGGCTAGAATGTAGTCCACGTCGCTGGTCTCGTTGAGAATCTCGGGGGCGACCCAGTGGATGCTGTGACCACGTAACAGCTCACGTTGAGAATCCAGGGGACGGGCAACGATCAAATAGCAGTGAATGTTTGGGTGGTAGTGGTGGTACCTGCCGACGATCTCCTTGGTGTCGCCCTTCTTCATGTTCTCCCTGAACTTGGTGAGACCAAAGTCGCTCACCTTTACGTTCCACTTGTGATCGAGCAGCAAGTTGAGACTCTTGAGGTCGCGGTGCACAATACCTAAAGTGGCATTATTCGTGAAGTTTTGTGTTTTTAAGGGATAGAAATCTACAATTATGGATTTGCAGTGGTGATGGTGGTACCCGAGGAATGGAGGAAGTGCATGCCCTTGGCGCCCTGGTAGGCCATCTTGGCTTTCAGCGGGAATGGAATCTCGGGAATGAGTTCATTGTGCAATAGCTGTTGTCATTCACCACCAATTAATGGATGCATGAATTTGCTGATGGTGGCTGAATGGAAGAGTTTGAATGGGGGTACCTCATAGAGACAGCCGAGGCCCATGTACTCCATGACGATGCACATGCGGGGTGCCTTAGTCGAGGCGGCCATGAAGAGCACCACATTGGGATGCCGCAGCGCCGTCATAACTTGCACCTGCCAATAGAGTCATGAGCCATATGCAATAAGGAATTTCAAGAACGCAACCAGCACGCAAGAGAAGTGGGGTGTAGTTACACACCTCATCCTTGAAGTTCTTCTCCATCTCCTTGGTGATCTTTTCCGAGGCGATGACCTTGACCGCCACTTCGGTGCCCTTCCACATGGCCCGGTGGACCTCGCCGTAGCCGCCCGATCCGAGCAGATCGCCCACCTCGAGCTCGTCGTAGTTGATTTCCCAGTCATCGCGGCCCCCGCGGCGCAGGCGCGCCCAGTACCACGCAGCCACCGCCACCAGACACAGGAGCAGCGCAATGGCGGCCGCCACGGGCAGCACGACGCCGAGAATGACCGCCAGCGAGTCGGCGGCCGATGATGAAGAGACCAGCTGGCAGTACTGGCCCTCGCGGCCGCTATTGCACAGGCACGAGTTGCTCACGCACGAGCCGAAGCCAGAGCACAGTTCGGAGCCGCTGCCGGAGATGCAGCCGTAGACGCTGCTCACCGGCACGCCGGCGCAGGTGAACGCCTTAAGCTGATCGAAGACC